CGCCGGGGCCTCTGCCTGCCGCCACTGAGCCCCGCGGCCAACGCGGATGCGGCCCCGGCGGCGCCTCGGCCAGGCCCGCCCCGACCTGCGCCCGGAGCCGCCGCCGCGCCCCGCGTAGCCCCGGCCCTCGGCTGCCCGGTGCCAGATCCTCGCGTAGGCCCGGCCCGGGCCTCTCCTCCCCGCGGTGAAAGAGGAGGCATGTCCGCTGCCGCCTCCGCTGAAATGATTGAAACCCCCCCGGTCCTCAACTTCGAAGAAATCGACTACAAAGAGATCGAGGTGGAAGAGGTGAGTGAGGGCCCCGCCGCCCCTCGCACACCCCTCGCTCTCCGGGCGCGGCCAGCCTGGCCCCTCCGAGCGCCCCCGGTGTTCCCCTGCTCGGCGCCGTCCCACAGCCGCGGGAGGGGTCGCGGGGGCTCCCCAGGTGCTTCCTGGGACTCCCCCCGTGTACCTGGCCGGGGTTCTGTGCTCCCCTGGATGCTGCAGCGGCTGGCACCGGCGAACAAAGGCGGTCTGGCTGGGAGTGGACGTGCCAACTTACTTCTGCCAGCTCTGGAGTTTTACTGTGGGGTTTTATTTAAGCGAGGTAGATTTATTCGGGACTTAAAATTTCGCCGTCCGTTTTGCCACCCACTTTAGTTTGGGTGGCAAACACTGTTGTCAAGCGTTGTCACAGGAGGGAACTGTTAATTCTGATGTTTCTTTCGGATCTCTATTTCTGTATGCCCCTGCTTTTGCCTTCTGCCACCATTGCAAATATAATCATCATACCACTGTTAATGGTTTCCTAAATTTACATCTCTATAAGCTGTAAGGATGAACAGGTTTTTTTTTCTTAACGCAGGCTAATGATGTTGCACTCGTGAATATGTAACATTTCATTTCTGACCTGGCTATGTGACCCGGGAAGTGACATTCGCTTAATGTATAACATAGTTGAAAGCAAGTTTTTCTTCTGTAGAAAATTTCACAGTGAAAATGTTGCCTTAAATTCTTTGAGGCTTAAATGGGATGGATAAAGTACAGAATTTCAGATGTACCTGTCATCTGTCTGGGTTTCCTGTGAAATTAGGATGTGTGTGATCTGGAATAGTTTGCATGCTTTACTAAAGGGCTCAGTAGTATGTATGTATACTACAACATTTGTTTAACTCTCAAAATCACACAAAAATATTGCTGGTATTGATTTTTTTTTCCTTCCTCCCCTGCTAAGTTTTCTGCAAGAATGAAGTCGCCTCATGTAGACCCATAATGAATTTGGTGAGGTCAGCTTGTAGAGTCTGGACCTAACAGGCATCCAAGACTGCTGAAACAGTCTCTGTGCTTTTATTTGTAGATTAACATCTTTCCCTTTCAGTAATAATTGCCCTCATATTCTAAACAAGTTTATGTGGAAGTGAGTTTAGTTTTTGTGTAGTAGCTGTTAGAGGTATGACGACCTGTGTCTCACATTTTTAAAGCAGCTTGCTAGATCCTGGTTTGTTCATAATTATCATACTGGGCTTACATGGGGAGAGTTCACAGAACATAAAATTTATGATGTTTCCATAGAACAGCAGGGCACTTTCAGCTGTATTAGTGTTTTATGGTAATTTTGGCTTTCACCATAGTAGGCACTGGAAGTTCTCAGAATACAATATTTTCCAAAAGATTGCCTTTATCCCTTATCATAAAGGCTTTTGTCTCTTTAAGTCTTAATTGTTCCGCTTCCCTTTATGCATTTAACTGTTTTGTATTTTTGCCAACCTTTTTGCAACACTTACTGATAGACAGTGATCAAATCACATGTTTTGGGAGAAATGGCTTTTCTCACCCAAAGAAAAAAATTTCAGGGGGTAAGAATTTGTCCATCATAAAACGTTGCCCAGGGATGGCTCACAGAGGTGAGCAGCACATCTGCTATCTTAGACATGGCACTTGGAATTAGTAAAGAACTATATGAATCGTTACTCCTCACAGCACCCTTGGGAAGGTTGTTAACAAGGATTATACTGCTGGTTTACATATAGGAAGTGTGGACTTGCACAGTGTGTGGCTAAGGTTTGGCGTTGGGAGCTTGTCTGCATCCCACACACATGCCTAGAACCTGCAGAGACAGGACTGTATGCACAAAAATGTATGTACATATGATGCCTAAGTAAGAATTTCTTTAATGTGATTGTTGCAATATTCTCAAAGCAGTATCTCTGTTGGAGATGACAAAACTTGTGGCATAAGCAGGAGAACTCTGATAATGTGTTGTCTCTGTGAACAATCTGATGACAGCTGGCATAGCATTTTAAGTTACATTCAGTGTACCTGTCCTACCAGAAGTTCTTACAGGCAATGGAGATTCCTTGTGCCGAACACAGTCTAAATGTCGTTGCACAGAGGAAGAAATAAGACCTACTTTACTGTAAAACAGATGAATTGGAGACCATACTTAGACCTTGCTTTTCTCAGGTGTGGGTGTTCACCTCTTACTCAAGGTGCAGTTTCAGTGGAAGTAGTCAACTTTGCAGTCGTAACAAAACATACATCCTTTCTGAGGATTTTCTGTGCTCTCACTTCAGGCTCGGAAGTTTTCAAGGATTTTTAAATGGCTGTAGTGACTCAAAATGGTCAGATTTATGCTTGGCAAACTTCAGGTGTTTCAAAATGGAGTGTCAAGAGATCTACACTGGAAACTCAAATGCTTTTATAATCATAGCTTTGCTGTTGTATTATCGAGTCTGTCTTGTCAGCAGATAGCAGTCCCACTCTGCCACTGGTTTATTAATAGATATTGAAGTTCTGGAATACTTGCAGGCCCTGAGTCCTTGCTAATAAATGTGAGATCTGTAAGTGCACTTTCATTCAGTTTTGCCTGAACTCTACTGGATAATATAAAAAAATATCCCATATTTTGCATTAGCTACCATGCACGTGTAGTCTGTGTTACTTCCCCCCTGTTAAATGTGTCTCCAGCTTCAGGCTGCCTTTTTGTTTTTTCAAGTTCTTAAAATGAAGTAAAATGTAGAGACAATTATGAATGAGTTGGAGTAAAATAAAAATTGATATGGCACAGAAGGAGCATCTTCAAAACAAGAAGGGTAAAAACAACATAATTGTGTTCAGCCGAAATGTTCCCTATTTTACCATGCAAGTTTTTGACTGTGGGAATGTCCTCACAAGTTTTTAGGTATTAGATAGACAAATCATTAGAAACAGAACAAATAAAACTTAATATAACTGAAATCAAGGTAACGATAACAAGCCTAGTAGCCTTATTTTAAAATTTCATGTTTAAATCTAGCCTAAATACTCGTCTCTTCTTCCCAGAGGAGCTTCCACATCTAAGCAACAGACTTTGGTTTTGAATTGTTCTGGCAACCTGCTCCCTGCTAGTCTTTCCTGAAAATTCCACAGCCCTTCCTCCATTATGTCACTGGATAACAGTGCCATACATGACCAAAATGTCGACTTCATCACATGATGTTGTGTATACCTTGCATCGCACAGCCAAAGGTACATGTCTGGTCGTGTATGCTGTGGTTCTGCCCAGCCACTGGCTGATTTAGCCAGGTTGAAAACCATTGCTATATTTGTGCAGTTGCAAGTTACTTTTGAACAGTGTGGAAGTGTAAATTATTTGAAAACTGTCATTTGAATACTGCTGGTATATTGCAGTCTACACTGATATTTATTTTCAACAATATGCTAGGGCAACAGTGGTTAATTCTAAGGGAATTTACGGTAATGTTTTCTTAAAGATGGAAAGCTAAACTTTGTAAGTGTTTATTTTAGAAAACCTGCTTAAGGTCCCAGCAACTAAGGAGATGCAATTTATGGCACGTTCACACAGTTGAATAATTTCATTAACTGAGTAGTGTGCTGAGAACTGCATGTGTTCCTTACAATTATGGAGCAAAGCCATTCAGAGGCAAGAGAATGAGCAATACAGTGAGACAACTGGGTTTTACTCCCTTTTATAGCACTTAACTTTCAGAAGTTCATGAGGTGTGGTGACTGATTATGTCCATTACACTGCAAGGAAAAGCTGATATGCATAAGCTGCTGCTGAACATGGAGTTGTTTCCACCTCCATTGTTTTTATGTCCTGGGAGATCGTGTCCAGTCGTAGAATCATGGTTCGTGGCTGGGCTTTGCGAACGAAGATTTGGGAAGGGCTCTACCCACATTTGCTACAAGCACGCTGGTGGCTAAAAAGGCCAATGTGAGATAGACAGGTAGTTGTAGAATAATGATCTACAAAATTATAAGAGGTTTGGACAAGAACTGCAGGTGCAATTTGAGATCTGAACAGTATTCTTGGGTATTGCATGAGTACAAAAGGATTGGTGCTCAAGAGCCAAGGGTGGTAGTTTAAAATTCATTTGAAGTCAGTCATGTTTCTCAACCTTTTTCAGTAAATAAGACTTCAAGGTGCTAAGTTGAGTATCCTAAAACCAAAGGCAAAAAATTAGTACATGGTGAAAACATACCAATATTTTCTCTGATTTTACTCTAAATAAATTCCTGATTTAATTCAAGTCAATATTTAAATTTAGTTTTGTGGAAGATTCTCTTCATTCTGGGATGTGAATTTATACCTGAAGTTACGCAACACCAATTCCATGTGAATGAAATTCAATGTGCAGTGAGTTAGAGGATGGCTGAAAAGCTAGTGAGACTGTTAATGTGAGACTTTACATTTATTTCTACACATGCAGATATATAGCAGATATATTTGAATGAATCAGTTTGTGTCCTGTAAAATAAACTTATATTTTACCCTCTTAAAGAACACATGGGAAAGAAACTTCACAGGCTTTTCTATTTCAGTGATGAAAGTGAGATGCATATTTATGAGATAATAATGAAGTTCCCTGTCCAATGCCTTTCCCCAAGGAAAAAACTAAAACAGAGCAAGTTTCACATGTCCCTTGTTTATCGCACCCAGTGGATTCTAGCAGTATTTGACTTGACTGTAGAATGATTATTTGTTTTTCAAAGACCAGTAATTTTAGATGGCGCCAGCTCAGCAAGCCCAACTCCTATTGGAGTCCTTCACCCCGAGTACTCAACATTTTATGTCTAAAACTAGAATCTGCTATCTGGGCTGCTGTAACAGAACAAATTGATTCATGCTAAAACATCATTAAGGGATATATTTTTCCTATAGTGTTTTGCGTAACTTAAAAGTTGAAACTTGGAAACTAAATCTAAACTAAATTACTTAGTTTACTTAAAATTGGTAGGGTTGCTTAACAGGGGTTTTGGAGGTGAGGAAGTGGAGGGAATTTGGGGTTTTTTTCATTGCTATGTGAATCCAAGAAAGGGAAGGCAACATTTAGAATTGGGTCAACATTAGTACAAATAAACTTAATAAGTCAAAGAACATAGTTGTAAGAATTGGCAGATGTGAACTCCTTCCTAAAAGTGCTGCCAGGGTATTGGCCACAGTCATTTGTGGCATGGGGCCGATTTGCTTCAACCTACTTAATAAAGCATAGCACAGTCAGAGGAACAAAAGCTGGAATTTGAGGCTGGTTGAATGAATGATAGAAAGTGTAGGCATATATTTTTAGGAGCTGTTGTTCAT